GGTACATTTGCAGGAAATCTCTCTTATCCTCTGGGATGCTACCCTGTGTGAGAAGTGTATATTGTTGTTGTTACCCTGGTAGCCTCATGCAGCCTGAAACAATTGGTTAGAACTTAAGAACGAAAAAAAAAAAAATCATTTGGAATATCCAGCCCACTCTGTCCACCACCCCACAAACCCTAACCTGTCATGGCTTCATCCATTCGCTCTGCCTCCGGAGGAAAGGAAAGTTCTGCAATAGATCCTTCTGGTTTCCAAAGGTGATGGAGCAAAAGTTTGAGAATATTCTTTCATAGCCACCGTTCAAACCTTGTTTCCTTCCCTCCCCAGACGATACTTTCCCCAGATGTATAGAAACATTGCACTCTATGAAATATATCTCATTTATTTCAGCTGGGATTCATTTTTCAAGGAATTTATCCAAACAGCCTCAGCTACCTTTTTGTTGGCAGCCAATTCCAATTATCTACAATTCTGCGAGCAAAAAATCTTCGAATCTCAAGTTCTGCTTGAGGCATTCTAATTTGAAAACTATGTCCCTAATAAGCTTATAATAATAATAATGATCCTTGTATTTGATATCGCGCCTTATCATGCCTTCGAGACGTCTCAAAGTGCTTCACGGAATATAATGTAAAGTCAATTCATCGTATATTTCGTGGGGGAAATGTGGCGGCCAATTGCGCACAGTAGCGTCCCCACAAACAGTCGTGGATTGAGTGACCAAATTATTATTATTATTTTTGAAGGGATTATTACAAGAACAACAACAAAATTGCATGTGTAAAGTGCCTTTCACGTCGGGAGGATGTCCCAAGACACTGGACAGTCAGTGTTTCGGACCCAAGCTGGGTGTCAGGATTGGGAAGGGTGTAGGACATGAGGAGGGAAGCAGGGTGATCGAAAGCACAGTCGAAGAGGGGGTCTTGAGATGGGTCTTGAAGGAGGTAAGGGAGGGGCGAGGCAGAGGGACTCCGGGATGAGTTCCAGAGGGTGAGGGTAGATTGGCAGAAGGACTGCCCGCCAATGGTGGAGCAGGCGAGGTGGGGGACGTGAAGCAGGCTGGAGCCCGCTGAGCAGAGGGAACGGGCAGGACAGTAGGGGGTTAGGAGGTCGCAGAGGTAGGTACCCCTCGGAAAGCGATCCGCCAATCGATTAACAACCGGGTTCCTGCTCACTGCTCGGTAAACAGAGGAGTGTGGAGTAAGGAAACCTTGCCAACGTTTCGCCCTGCCTGGGAATCGAACCCAGGTCCTCTCGCTTATGAGGCGAGCGCTCTAACCACTATGCTAGGAGTCTCACTTCATCACATTATCTATGGCCAGACCAGGGACAGACTCCACCATCACAAATCTATCTCCACCCACAGCGAGAGAAGTGAGAAATTAAAATTTAAGAAGATTCTGAAAATAGTGTCGCCACGTTTACAACACGCTATACTCTGACTGTGTAATAATAGATTAAATTGAAGATCATTTATTAATGGGACGTTAAAACACTCCATTTATGACACCCTCTCAACTCATCTCTCTCCTTCCATAAAGTTTAATCATCCTACTGTTTGCAGTGGAGAACGACATTTCTTAGCGCAGAACCAGTGAAGAATAATTCTGATGAGTGTTGCATACATCTCTTTTGGAGAACTCGGCCCAAAGACACTGCATGTAACACTCACCAGAATTTGCCCCCAATGATGTTTTGCTATTATTATTAATATTATTATTATTATACAGTAAAACTTGCACAAGCCATCTCTTTATGAATCGTACAATCGCCTAATCATACAATGTATCTGAGTCCCATTCAGTTTCCTACCAAAAAACGTCTAGATTTCTTTGCACTAGTTGTATTCCATTAATCGAATAAACAGCTAAATCCTAATGGTTTATTGCTCTTAAGTGATTCTAAAACCCTACGCAAATCATCTCCTAACTCTTCTCCGCACTGATTGGCTTCATTGAAGTGCACACATGCAGTTTTCCGTTTGAAACCAATGTGAGAAACAAAGTCATATTATGTACGGGTCAAGAACAAAGAGTTTTGCCTAAATCGGACTTTAGGTAAGTCATATCGAATGTTACAGTCCCAACTGATGTGAACTTTACGCATTTTATCGTATCAAAAGAACCAGTGTAAATTCTTGGGTGATGCAGTGAATTTGAAGACAACCAAAGAGGAAAATTCCACCTGGATCTAGATTTACTGTATTAACGTAACATTTCAGAGTGCCTATAATTTGCTACATTTTTTAATTGTATAGCCTCAATTTTGAAGCCGATTTCCTGTAAGTTCTGGGTACACAAAACTGGTTCAATAATAATAATCCTTGCATTTGATATAGAGCCTCATCACATCTTTGAGACGTCTCAAAGCGCTTTACAGAATATACTGTAAAGTGAATTGACTGTATATTTTGTAGGGGAATCGCGGCAGCCAATTGCGCACAGCAGCGTCCCACAAACAGTCGTGGATTGAAGTGACCAAATTATTATTTCTCTTTTATTTATTTTTATTTTTGAAAGGATTATCATCCCCCAGAAAAGCGATCCGCCAATGGACAAACAACCTCATTCCTACTTACTGCGGGGTAAACAGAGAGGCGTGTGGAGTAAGGAAACTTGCCCAACGTTTCAAATAATGTGTCATTAAGACTGAATTGAACAATTGGCTTAATTCTGTATGCTCTGAAATGTTACATCAATGGAGTAAATCTAGACCCAGGTGGAATTCTATGTTTTTCTACCTCTAGGATTTACAGCTGCAACCGAGAATATTTGAAATCAATCTCCACTTAGTTGCTGGTGATCACAGAGCCCCAGTATAAAACTGCTCGCAATTCAGCGTAAATTGGCACTAAATTGCCCATCTTATCCAGATAAATCATTTGGATGGCTCCACTCTGAGTTTTCTGCATTAACCCTGACCTGGAAATACTTAATGCCAGTACTAAGTACACCATTGAAAAAACTGTTGGCAAGCATGCCATTTCTCTTCCCTCTTTCAGTTGGATATCAAGATCAGGCCAGGGGAACCTAAGAGCTACCTATCCCTAAAATAATAAGAGATCACTGAAAGGGAAATCTATCATTTAATCTTCAAGAAAACTTCATTATCATGTGCTGGAATTTATAGTATTTCTTATAGAATTCAGATTTTTAGAATGTGTTTCTACAGATAGACGGACAGACAGACAGACAGACAGACGGAGAAAATGGCCCATGAGTCAGTAACTAGAAGGCAGCAATTTAAGCTAGTTAATAAACAAGTAAATGGGGAGATGAGGAGAATTTTTTTCATGGGGGGGTGAGTAGAATTTGAATGTCCTGCCAGGAGCAATGGTTCAGAAAAATAGAATCAGATAAATACTAAATACGAAGTAAAGCAAAAAAGGGGTGTGGAAAAAGGGCAGGTAAATGGAATTGGATAGCAGAATTGTTCTGAAAAGAACCAGCACAGAGACGATGAGCCAAATTGCCTTCTTCTGTGCTATAAATTTCTACCATACGATGGTTCTACTGTGCTGTAAATCCTCTTCTTGTGATGCTGTACAAAAGTACACCAATCCGTGCGCACTTTATTTTCCAACTTACAGAGAGTAAAAATAAAGTTAGAGCTTCTACTGTGCCACTGAGATGTCTATTGTTTAATTTAGTATAGTTATGAAATATTTAGATGTGATATGTCGTCAATGGTTGACTTACATAAGCACTCACAGACACAGATGGAGAAGAGAGAGACATACAGACAGATAGAGGAGAGACAGACACACACACATACAGACAGAGGAGAGAGAGAGAGAGAGACACAGACAATCTCACAGGCAGTGGGAGTCCTTGTATTAGCCCCTGGTCACTGACCACACAGCAAAGCCCATTTCCTGCCCCCTGCGCCTCCCAACACCCCCCACGCGGTGATTTTCTATAGTCCAGCCTATCACTTCTGCACGTGTGTGAGAAGCAGAATTGCACCTTCTCACACAAGCGCAAAAGCGCTCTGAACTCAGGAGAAATTTCGATTTCTCCAGAGGTCTGAACGTGCGGAGTGCTGCTGCTGACCCCAGCCTCACAGCCACAGCTGTTTTTGGGGGTCCCTCAAAATCCGGGGCTGAGGGCTACAGCACCTAAAGGCCTGGGTTAATCCAGCCCTGACTACTGCATATTGACCCTAGCTGGAGTTAGATTAGAAGATCAGCCATGATTGAATGGCGGAGCAGGCTCGAAGGGTCGAATGGCCTCCTCCTGCTCCTACATGTTATGTCATGTTATGTTAACATGGCCACCGATGAGGTATAAAGACACAGTAGGAATTGTAGGAATGAACAAGGTCAGAGTCTTGTTTCATAAGCTGAGGAACCCATTTGGTCAAATCCACTCAGCTGAATACCACATCTAATGGGCCATAAGCTCGTATTCTCTTTGTATTCTAATTGGGTTCGGCACCTATTGAAAAACACATTGATTTAATGTGAAGGGAGCTCAGTGTTAGTCAATAAATATAATAATCCTTGCATTTTGTTACAGGGCTTTTCACATCTTCCAGACGTCTCAAAGCGCTTCACAGAATATAATGTAAAGTGAATTGACTGTATATTTGAAGTGAACTTGAAGTGAATTTGCACAATTTGCCAGTACTGTATAACAAGAGTGGAAACTGCACATTTTTTTTTCCATTGGAGCCACCAATGATTTTTTTTCTCTCTGGACTTTTACAGCTTTCAAAGCTTGCTCACTTGGCAGCTCAAATAGTGATGGAGAACTTCCAACACTCTAGGTTAAAAACTGGTACCCGCACCTACGGGTGGCTACAGTGAAGCTTCGCTGTGACATACCACTTGGGATCCGTAAAATCCGAGCTGCGATTATACAGTCAAAGAAAATCTCGTAGCACAAAAACACAATTGATTTGCTTGAAACATAAGGTGGCATCTTGTGCTCGTACCCACCGTGAAACAGCAACACATACAGTGACAATTTTATGCACGATCTTAAGTTGCGTCTTACCTCGGAAAAAACATTCTTTACTGTGAGTGATGTAGATCTTGGCTTTCTGCAAGCAAGCAGAACGATGTAGCTCACAGTGATTCTCATAAAACTTCCCATCGGAGCCGCAGACTGGTATGTAATTGGGCTTGCATTTCTGTAGGCACACACACACTGGCTGCCTCGTTTCCTTACTGACGTTACACTGTTCCCCACGGCCACAGTACTTCTTCTCACACGAGCCATATAGACCATCGTGGCCGTAATACACTGGAGAAATAAACCAAAGAGAGAAGAAAAGGTGAAGAAAGACAAAATCCCCAGTCTCTATGTAAGGTAAGGCCTACAAACATACAGTCACATAAACCTGTGAATTCCCGTATGTCTGATTGACTGTGCTCCTTGCCTATTTGTTCACTGCCAACAGAAGTGTTAATCCGAATAATTCACAAAATAGAACAATGTGCCAATTTTTAAAAAGGTCTGGCAATCATAGTTTGCAGGAAAAAAATTCCAGGACGCTGCCAAAAAAGGCAAATCAATTATACTTAAGAAAAATAAACAGGATGGAGAAGGTTGAGGAGTTAGCAAATGGTCCTATCACCTCTCAAACCAGAAACATGAGTGTGAATGCAGGCTCGAAAGATGGGATGGAAATCTCCACCTTACAGCCACACAGGACCCCTCACGCAGAGTCGCGTCCCAGAGCGCTTGACGGTGGCGGAGACGGTCGCCAAGCCGGTTGGATGGGGGGGGCTGACCGTAGGCACGGTCGAACAGGAAGGTCTTCAGGTTGTGAGGCTCCAAAGTAAAGTTATTTCAGAGCAGCCACAATGGACGCAAGACAGAGCACAAAACTACAAAAAAAACATGGAATGAGATAAGGCCAATTGGGCTATTATACCCACTCCATCTACTGAACACGTAAACTCTCCCCAATCCTGGAGTCCATCCCATTCATTTAATTCCCTCGAGGGTAAATTCTGAAAAGGTTTATCTGACTCTGTCCCTGACTTCAAAACTTCAGAATGTCCGATTTCAGTTCTTCACTTTGAAACCTTTGCTTTTTACAGATGTCATTTCCATAATCACAGCATCACAGGAACCAGCACTTTTACTGGCTAAATCCTCGCACATGTTCATAATCTAACACAGGGAGAGAAGGCATAGAAGTGTGAAATATTCATCTTCAATTATCACCTGTCAATAATCACAGCAGATTTTCAATTAAAATAATTTTCAATCGGTTAATGAAGAGACTCTTTCATGAAGTCAGCGGCTTTTTGGTTAAAGTGGAAGTCAGATTTCTAATTTGACTTTTATTTCCATCAATATCCAATGCAATAATTAGCATTATCAATATGAATTTCCAAAGTCAGTGTGGCAGCAACTTCTGTAAAAGGTGCGATTCCCTTAGCGGGATAATAGCAAAGTTTCATCCATTTTACTAATTGGTATTTGTGTCTGCATAAGTGTTGAGGTATTTACAATTCCATAACTGTTTTTTTCCCTTTTTCTTTGCTGCAATTTTACTCTCAAGGTCATTAGCAATAACCTGATCTGCCAAATACTCAGCCAGAACTTGGCAATCAACAACACTCGCAAAGCAGAGACAAAATCTTAGTGTAAAATGGCCTTTCTACAAGAGTGCATGCTCAAGCACAAGATCATTAGGTCACAACACGTTCTCTGAAATTAACATTGAATTCAGATATAACTGACTGATTAAACAGTCCTCACATCAACATTTTCTTTCGTGTTATTAAAACTGAATAAATTCCCAGACCCATAAGGATTAGAAAGAGCATTGATGGAAAGTGTACTAACTGAGACTGTGGATTAATCTACGTTTGCTATTTATGAGCCGCCCCACAAAAACAATATATTGTTACATTTAATAATAATAATCCTTGAATTTATTATGGCACCTTATCACATTGTTGCCTCAAAGCGCTTCACAGAATATATTGTAAAGTGAACTGACTGTGTATTTTATGGAGGATTTAATTAAATTTAATTTTGTGGGGATTAAAGAGAAGGTATTCAATTGGAATTACCTAACACATCAATAATTAAATCCTAAATAGGATGCCCCAACGGGTGCCCGAATGATCTAAATAGAGTTTACAACATGATTTCAATTTAAAAAGGGGAGTTATGCAAATAAATTTGTTGGAAAGCAATGGAAAATATGGTTTGGAATCGTTTCATGCCACCAGTCGCCCAGCACCACACAAGACACCAGGAACAGCAACTAGACACATGTTCCATTATCAGACATTGGCAGTAGATCCCGGGGTCTAAAATTCCACCTGGTCTTAGTCATTTAAGAGTTAAGATCATGCAAAATTATGGAAAATTCTTCAATTCAGCAATTTAGAACTGGCTTCCAAATTATGGTTGAATGTAAGAATTTCCAGCATCCTACAAAAGGTCCTTGTGACAAAGTGGCCTCAAATACACCAGACACTGAACCTGCACACCTTGCCAACCACCAGGAACTAAAACTAAACATAAGAATAAATTGGTCATTCAATCCACGACTGTTTGTGGTGACGCTGCTGTACGCATTTGGCTGCTGTGTTTCGCCCACAAAATTTACAGTCAATTCACTTTGCAGTATATCCTGTAAAGCGCTTTGAGACGCCTTGAAGACGTGATAAGGCGCTATATTAAATGCTGCACCACTATCACCCTGGGGAAGGGTGTGAGCAAGATATCTTCGGGGCCAAGGTAACATGTCTGGCAATGGAAGATTGGAATTGAGTCAATCCTTTGTGGTGCTCTCAGCAGTGTGTACCCCTGGCCAGGCTGGTAAGTAGTTTACCAGGACACTGGATGATGGACTAGCTAACCTATCTCATTGGCAAGTCTTGGAGGAGCAAACTAGTCACTGGGGGCTAGCATGCTTCCCGTCTGGCTCCAGGTAAGCCTCCAAGGTAAAACCCTAATAGGTAACGTGGTCCTAACTAGATTAAACAACAGGAAGCTTACCAGTGGACTGCAATAGTAGGCTGCACAGATGGTTAAAATCCAGCAATACTCCATTGCACACTATGGGGGCACGAAGCCTTGATTCTTCCCAATCTATGTCTAAATTCTCTGGGATTAGGTGAGAAAAGTGTGTTTCATTGGATGGAGGCTTCAAATCAAGGGAAATCAAATCAATATCAAATCAAGGAACTATTATTCATTGTGAGACAAATAGATTACCCTTTTACGTCACTTTCCTGGCTTATTACAGACTGGGAAACTCACCAACGACAACAACAACAAGATTCCATTTATAGAGCGCCTTTCACGTCGGGAGGACGTCCCAAGGCGCTGGACAGTTGGGTCAGGAAATAGATGTCAAGAGGCCAACGTTCTACCGTGCCACAAACGCACCTGCTACTCTGTGAACTGTATTTGAACATTTATGTCTTTATTATTAATTAATGAATTAATTCCTAAGAGAAAATCAAGGCAAGTAACACACTCTTCTGTGATTAATGTACGTTTGATAAATTCTGTGTCAATCTGACTCAGGTTAAGGTAGCACTCTTGCTACCTTGAACAGGAATACGGGGAAACAATATCTCATCTGCAAAAACACACGAATCCCCAAGCGTTACAAGAGGCAACAAATGCTGAACCCACAACATTCAGACTCAGAGGTGTACGCCAAACTAAGCCAAGCTGTCAGATAATTAATTGGTTACGAGTATATTAAGCTTTTAAAACCTACATCCGGAAATCAATTGTTTGCCCACAGGTTCACCTTTCTAAATATTGGTTTTGCTGGAGACAATGCTACACATACATACGCTTGACACACTTTCTAGTTTAGGATTTTCTGCGTTTCAGGAAGCCTGAAGGAGCTTCAAACGGCAATGACCTCTCCAAGCCACCCTCAATGTCAGTATGGCTCCTTTCTCGTCTCTTATCTCGCCCACAAAATATTTGCCTGTCCAGGTGGACGTGGGTTGGGGCGGGGAGGGGAGAGGGTTAGGGGGGAGTGGAATGACAATGATCAGCAAAAAAAAAAGTGGTATTTTTACATCTACGTTGCATTTTTTTTAAGTAGTTTATTGTCTATTCCTATTTGAAATTCCGCAGTCACGAATGCTCCCATAACAGTGTAAGATAGGAAGCTCCAGAAATTGGGCCCAGCGATAATGTAAGATAAATGGTTATTTATTGGGTAAAGACTATGCTCCTTGCAATGTCTTTTAGCTTACCAATGCTTTCAGACAGACACAAAGTGCGCAATGATGAGCACTGATCTCATAGGTGGTTTAGATATGGATAAGTTCATAGCTCTAGGAAAAGTTTCTGGACAGGAGAAGATTATCAGGAACATTGAAGACAGACTGAGACAGCAGTATCTTTTTACTATTAAAGCGAAGCAAAATTCTCTCAACCGAGTGTGGGGTCGAGAGCATATGTGAGAAAGAGGGAGTAAAAGGAGAGTACGGGGAGACATGCTGAGAAAAGATCCTTGCATTTGCTATCGCGTCTTATCATGTCTTCGAGACGTCTCAAAGCGCTTCACAGAATTCAATACAAAGTGAATTGACTTGTGTATTTTGTGGGCGAAATGCAGCAGCCAATTGCACACAGCAGTGTCCCACAAAAGAGTCGGGGATTGAAATGACCAATTTATTATTTTTTCAAAGGAACTATTACCCCCACCAATCGACTAACAACTGGGTTCCTACTTACAATACTCGAACCCAGGTCTCTCGCTTGCAGGCGAGTGCTCTAACCACTGAGCTACAGGACTCCACTCCAGATATGGGAAAAGTAACAAAATTGAAAGCAAAGAGGAAACCTTCTTTAAAGGCCAGATGCAGAATAATTCAAGATAACACTGGTTAAAATGGTGGAAGTTTGCAGAAAGATCACTTAAGTGACAGCCACAGAACAAGTACCAGAGAGAGACAGTTTGAGCGAACTGAGATTATGGCTGCTGAATTCTGTAAACCCACGGGGGAACAGAGGAAGTGAATTCCGGTGCTGTTATTTCATTTATAATTCAACGAGGACGTGGGGTTACATCAAGTGCAAGACGAGACAACGCACGATTCACTGGAAATGAGAGTAGGCATGTCTCTGGAATCATGAAGTTTAAATAAAGTTAGTGAAATGCCAGGCAGTGACTTAGCTCACTGAGAGCTGAGCCATTAGCTCCATTACTACTCAGAAGCAGCCAGGCTTTAATCCACGTGGAAGGAAGTGGCCTGTAATAGCTTTGGCGCACTGAAAGGCTGTCAAGAGTGCTTTGTAAA